TGACCCCTCTTTAGAGACATGACATTTGTGCCCTGCTAGAACCAACCCCCATCATCTCTCTATCCGAGGGGAGGGGGCCTTGTGAATCGGGACATGGCAGTCTTGGTATGCCAGCACAGCTCTAGTCCAAGAGGAGAGGTCTGCTCTGTTGAGCTGTGGCATGTCCCCCAAGCCGCCACCCCTGCCTAGCCAGAGGCTCCAGTCCCCTCCCTGGCGGCCTGCGGGTGTGGAGGCAGAGGACGTGTGGGTAGCCGGGCTGCTTTATTTGGAAAACGCCTGTCTTGTTGTCCTGGCCTCTAGTAGGATACACATCAAGACCCCCAGCAGGTTTCCCACCCAGCCTCAGGCTCCTGACTCCACCAGGGACAGAGATCAGGTTCAAGAGCTTGAAAGGTGGCCAGCTGGGAAGAGCTGGGGGCTGGAGAGTGCAGGGGGTGGCTGCCCTCCTGGCTCAGCTGGAGGGCAGGAGGCCCCAAGGCAGTAACAGCTCGGCCTCCTCCTGAGCCACTCGGAAGGCAAGGGCGAGGATCTGAGGAGCTGGGCCATCCAGGGCCCGAGGTCAGAGTGCCTAAGTCCCATCAGCTGCTCTGCGGAGGCCGCCCTTGGAGACCAGAGGCTGGTGGGGGGCTGAGCGCTGCACTCCTGTAGCCCCTCACCAGGCGCCTGACCGGCACCTGCCGAACCCCAGGGTGACGGGCCCAGGCTTCAGGAGCTCTGCATCCGGATGTGCACGAAGAGCGTGGCTGGTGCCAGGGAAGCCCCGTCCTTGGAGAGCAGGTGGATATGGCGGTACCCTGAGGGGAGGGGACGGGAGGGGAGGGCAGTCAGGCGGTCTGCCCACGACACCATCCACATCCTGCCTAGGCCTGCCCCAGGGTCTCTCAGAAGTACCCGGCCCAGGCCTGACCCCCTCCCCTCCTGTCCCGTCCCTGCCACCACCTTGTTTCAGGCTGGTCAGAGGCAGTGTGAACTGGCCCACAAAGTCATTGGGGGAAGTGGCGTCGTAGTCTTCCACCACGAACCGGACCAGCGCCAGCTCCGGAGCCCGCAGCTGGAACTGCAGGGTCTGGTCCCAGCGTGGATTGAAGCCTGCGGGGCAGGCGCAGGGTCAGAGCCCTCTGCCCCAGGCTGGCCCCGCACCTCCTCCTGCCCACCTTGCCAGGGCCCCCTGCCCCACCGTTGTTGAGCACGTAGTTGGTCTCCTTGCGTGAGCAGTCTGCCGGCACCCCATGGAGCTCAACCCGCACCAGGGGGTCCACGATGGAGCTGGCCTTCTCGGCCTTCAGCTTGGGCAGCTGCTGTGCAGTCAGCACCTGGCAGGGACGGGGGAACCTTCAGCTGGGCCCCCGGAGTCCTCACCCACGCCACCAGCTCGGCCTCCAAGCCCCCGGAATGGGCTCAACCCTGGCTGCTGACCTGAATGGTGAGCGTGGTTCTGAAGGGCCCAGGGCACTCAGGATCAAAGGTTGTGTTGGGCTGCCGCAGGCAGGCCGGCTTCAGGACATAGCCACACTGCCCATTGATGAGGAAGCGCCCGGCATTGAGGTCCATCTCATAGCCTGGCGTCTGAAAGTTCAGGGCCACTGGGGGACACAGTAGGGTCAGGGCAGCCACTACAGCCCCCTGCTCGTTGCTCAGGGCCTGGGGTGGACACGGCAGCCAAGGCCCCAGGCCCCACGGTCACCAGGACCTTAACCTGGCATCCCCCAGGGGCTGAGGCGGGGCTCAGGTAGGGTGTCAGGGTCACACTCAAGGCCAGGACTGGGGTCTCCATGACAGCCCCCATGAGGACCGATGTCCATTCCCATCATGCGTGGGGCTCAGTGTATGTGTGTGTTGAGGGCACCTTCCTAAAGGTGGGGGCCCTGGCAATGTAGTGATTTGATTACACGTTGGGCTGAGATCCCGCGAGGTTGGCAGTTTGAATCCACTAGCTGCTCCTTGGGAGGAAAATGGGGCTTTCTACTCTGGTAAACAGTTTAACTGTCTGGGAAACCCACAGGGCTCGACTCAACGGCGGTGAGCGTGGCGCCCGAAGGTGAGAGCTAATGCTGTTGGGAACTCATGTGGGCCTTGTCTCCCCGCACACACTGCTGACAACTCTTAGTAATTGTTACCCACAAAAGAGCTTGTCCGCCTTCTGAAAAATTATGTGACCCCACCATTCTGGGGTCTCCCCTGACTCTACACAGAGCACCCCCACCCCCCGCACCTGCTGCCTGCCTCACTCACCCAGCTGACAACCCGCGTTCCACATCTCCTGTGGGCTGTAGTTGGCCGAGTTCATCCGCAGCCCCAGCGGGTAGACGCGGGTCAGCTGATGAGAATTGTGCCTGACAAAGCTGTTCCCTGGGTGGGGTGGGAGGGGGCAGGGCGAGGGACATGGAGGAGACCTGGGACAGCCCCTGGGCGTCCCTCACCCAGGGCCAGGCCTGGTTTCCTGCCCTCCCCCTGGAGCCCCAGGGAAGAGGCTGCTGAGCCCAGAGGGGCAGGGACATGTTGGGCCACCAACTGTGGGCCTGCACCCCCCGCTTGAATCCCTTGAAGCTCACTTCATCCTTGGGGCCCAAGGCTGGCACTGCCATCCTCCACGAATCTTCCACCCCTGCCCCCAGGCCTCTGTACAACCTGTTCCTCCCGACTGACTTCCTGCCTGGAAGCCCTACGCCCTTCCTCACCACTTCCTCCCGCCTCCCTGCAGGTGTCCTCTCCCGAGTGAGGCCCCACCACTGTGCTGTGAGTCACCATGCTGTGCCCTATTCCCACTGGTGCTTGGTATAGGGTTGGGACAAGGTGGGCACTCATTCATTCCCCAAGCCCTCCCTGGGGTCCTCCTGACCACTAGACAGTCCATCCCCAAAGCCCCTATAACCTCCTTCCCAGACCAACTTCAGGACACCCTTTCCCACCCAGGCGCCCAGCACCCCATTCCTTTCCTACCTGCCTCTCGGATGAGCCTCTTGGCCTTTCGCTCACTGAGGGAGCTGACCTGGCAGGGCTGGGCCTGCTCGACATCTGGGCGCAGGCTCTTCAGGGGGGTGGCATGGCAGTACACCGCCAGGGCAGACAGCTCTGGGGAGATCTGCTTGGCCTGCAATCGGAGCCTCAGCAGGGTTGGGGGGCACCAGCCCTGTGGGCGTCCTGTCCTTCCCTCACACCCATGTCCTCCTGGTCACACCGGGGGGTGGGGGCAGGCCCTGCCAGGCTCACTCACCCACCGAGGCTTCTGCTCTGTGGTCTCGGCCTCCTCTTCCTCCTCCTCCTCTTCCTCCTCCCGGTCCCATAACACCCGGTCGTCCTCCGTCCGAGCCCCTGGCAGCTTCTTCCCCTTCACCAGGACCCGGCCCTTCAGTTCCTGTCAGGAGCAGGGCTGGAGCATGAGGCCCTCAGGCCACCCTGCCAATTGGCTGACCAGCCCTCCACCTGCAGGAGTGGCTGGTTAGTGGGCGGCCCAACACCCCACAAAGCTTGGTCCCATGGGACCAGATGGGAAACCACCTAGGGATGGATGTCCACCAACCGGGTGTAGAAGAGCCAGTACCCCACCTCCGGACACTAAGCAGCCATTCAAGAGAGAAGGCAGCAGAGGACGGGAAAGAAGGCACCCTCTTCAGAAGGCTTCGCTGCACAGGGAGCGTGTGGCAGTTCACACCGCTGAGGACGACCGTGTCTGGGGGAGCCCCATGGAGGAGAACCCACTTTTTGACGGTACCCTTTTAGACAGCTTGAGCTTTCCTTTATCCCTGTGGACGCTGTGAAACAGGAGTCCTTGTGGGGCAGTGAGCTAAGCGCTGCTGGGCTGCTAACCAAAAGGCTGGTGGTTCTAACTCAGCAGGGACTCAGAGGGAGAAAGACAGGCCGTCGGCTTCCAAAGATTTACGTTCTGGGAAGCCTACAGGCGGGTCTGCTCTGCCCTACAGGGCGGCTGTGCGTCAGCATGGACTCATTGGCGGTGGGTCTGGCTTGGGGTTCACGCTAGGATATTGCTAAGTTTTAGCAGAGCTTCCAGACCCAGGCAAGCTGGGAAGACAGACCATCGACCTGGGGAAAGTCATCTATCCAAACCCCAGCCCAGTGTCCTTGTATCAGGGTCACCAGGAACATGGGGCTGACTCCGTAGCGTGAACAGCAATTCTACGATCACACCAACCACAGAAGACAAACCACCAATGCAACAGAGGTGAACCAACATCCCTGCATAATTGAGATTGGTGGTCATTTCCAGGAGAGGCCTCTGGGAAGGGGGGGAGGAAGGACTGGAAGGACCAGCTCTGGCTGGGGTGCTGAGGATGCTCTTACGGCTCCAGACCAGGTGGTCTGTGCTGAGCTAGAACTGGAAGCAGATGACTGGGAAAGGAGGCCAGGTGGAGGCAGTACCAACCCAGGGCGGTACCAACCCCGGCGGAAAAGGCTGAGTTTGCAGAGACTCCGGCAGAGCCAGAGCAGGCAGGGCAGGACCCAGACTGGGAGGCCTTGAATGCCAGGGTGACTCATTAAGATTCCCTTGGCCAGCGGCCGCAGGGGCAGTACCACGCAGAGCAGATGCCAGGGAAGTGGAGGAGCAGGGCCTGGGGGCTAGAGGATGAAGACAGAGAAGTGAGGGGTCCCGAAGCACAGTGGGAGCAGGAGCCAGATGGGTGGGTGGGACCCCTCCCCTCCACATTGGGCCTGTGAGTGTCACCTCCGGAGACGGCAGTGCCTTGGGGTCCTGGGAGTCCAGCGGCTGGGTCACCAGCATGTCCCCCAGGATGGTGCGCAGGTGGTGGGCCAAGGCAGCCTGCTGTTCCAGGCCACAGTGGTTCTCAAGGGACAGGATGACGGGGTATGGGGACGTCTGTGAGAAAAAGACAGACAGCCGCTCAGGGCCAATCACCCCTTCTCTGGGCCAAGGCAGTCAGTTAGCTGGGACACATTAGTCCCGGAGTGTAAAGGCCCAGGGTCGAGGTCTGCTTTGGGACCTCTGGAAAGGGTGGCCGGCTGAGGGGCTGCAGGAATGGTTCACTTCTAATATTCTGTTAATAACATTGGCCCCATGGTGGTTTAGACTGCAAGCCTTCTCCCCAGCCTGTCACCTGCAGAGGGAGCTTTGGTGGTGTAGCAGTTATGCGTTGGGCTGCTAACCTGCTAACCTCCAGGTCCGGAGTTCAAAACCACCAGTCGCTCCATGGGAGGAAGGCGAGGCTGTCTACTCCCATAAAGAGTTTGTCTCGGAAACTTACAGGGGAAGCTCAGTGACTCGATGGCAGTGAGTCTCTGGTGCATGGCTCTGATGCAGCTTTGGGCAGCGGGTGGCCCACTGTTGAAGCGTCCTGCCTTACCCGGAAGGCTTCCTTCCCGAGACCCTGTGGCATTTATTCCATGCACTCACACTGAGGGATGTGGGAGCATCCCCCTGCCCCAGGCTTTACTCTAGTCCATTGGCCAACTCTCCCAGCAGCCCTTGGGGAGCGGCAGGTGTGTGGATGGGTAGCCACCTCTCTGGAAGGCCTTGGGGCTGAGCACAGGCCCCTGGGGGCTCACCTCGAAGGCATGGTCGTGCACGGCTTGGACCACGTCTCGGAAGAGGATCTTGGAGGTGAGCGTATGGCCATGGTAGATGACAGGCTCCCCTCCTGGGCCCTCCCAGCAGTCCAGCTCCACACAGCGGCATCCCTGGGCAAAGGCCCTGTGGGTGGACAGATGGGCAGTCGGGGCTTGTGGGGGCCATTGGTCTGGAGTCCTGGTGGCTGTCAAGTCCTGTGTCCCCCGTGGCTGAGCTCACAGGCGTGACCCTGCCACTCCTGCCCCTCTGATACCTGACGTAGGCCTCTGTGCTGCTGGGCCCCCCGATCTGAGAGTCAGTCAGGTAGGTATTGTGGGAGGAAGAGATGAAATAGTGGGCGAGGGGCTGGTCCATGGGCTGGAATGTGCGCTTGTGGGCTGGGTCCAGGGCGGCCCCCTCGGGCGACAGCAGGTACATAATGAAGCCGTCCATCGTCATCAGCTCGTGTTGCTTGGCTAGGGAGAGGGAGGGCCGCCGGGAGGGTGTCAAGCCGTGTGGGGTAGGGACCCCACGTCTGGCCCCAAAGGAATAATAATGAGCATCCATCGGCCGAGGGCGCTGCGCGAGTCTGCATCAGCCTTGGCCAAAGTGGCGCAGTCACTTGCGCCCACGGCACCCACCTGTCTCGTTGAGCTCATGGGTCTGGATGAGCTGCCGGGCGTGCGCCAGGGTGGCGTCCTCTTCGCCCTGGTCTTCCAGGAACTCCCGCAACTCCGGAGCGCTCAGCACGCTGTCCTCCCCGGAGTAGCGGTGGAAGATGTCCTCCAGCTCGGGGCGCTCCAGCAGCAGCCGCAGGAACTCCTCAATCTCCGCCCCTTCCAGCCGCTCATTGTGGGAGTGGTCGCACTCCTGGGGGCGAGGGCGGAGCACTCGCTCAGGGGAGGGGCCGCCCTGCTGGACCCGACCCACTCTGCTGCCGTCTCCCTGGGGTGACAGCGCCCCGTTTCACTCGAGCGCGGAAACCTGGAGCCAGGGAGGCTCGGGGGGCCTTGCGGGCAGCCTCTCGACTGTGCCAAGACCAGCCCCAAGAATCACCATGTCGGAAGAGGGGAAATAGTGGCCCTGGAGCCAGGACTGGGCCCCCCACCCGCGAGCACACGTGACTCCTGACACACGCGCCCCCAGCTTCAGGTCACTGAGGAATGGTGGGCACCGAGGGCCGGAGGGCAGACAACACCCACGGGCGCAGGTGTCCCGCTGGGGGTGCGAGCCTGCCTCCGGTGGCCCTTGCCTGTGAAAGGGCGCAGCAGCGGCCTCTGGGGAGAGCGGGCAGTACGGAGGTCGGCCCTACCCTCCATCTCGGCCAGGGACGGAGGGGACGCGCGCGCAGTCCAGGCGGCGCAGCGCTGCTGGGAGGGGAGGGCAGGAGGGTGACTAGGCCCAGAAGTGCCTTTCTGTTGGGAGAAGCAGGCGCTCTCAGAAGTTGACACTGTAGCTACGATGCAGGTGTGTGGGGTACCAGTGTGTCTGTGTGTATGCATGTGCGGTGTGTGTGTGTATATGGTATGGGGGTGTGGTGTGTGTGTGTGGTATGTGATGGTGGTGTGTGTTTTGTGTATACGTGCGTGGTGTGTGTGGGTGCTGGCGGTCAAGGCAGGCAGCCCACCTTGAAGAGGCAGTAGGCGTACATATCGTCCAGGTCCACGTTGACCATGCGCAGCAGGCTCTTGATCTCCTTGAAGCTCATGTGACTGTCCTGGTTGGAATCGGCCTTGTGCAGGTGGAAGTGGATCCAGGTGCGCAGGTTCAGGAAACAAACCACGGCATGGGCGGCGC